AATATAAGTGAGCCATTGATTTTTTTTTTATTTTAAAGACGGGTCTAAGGCAAGGGCATTTCATGGTGTAACAAGTTTATGTTATGAAAGCACAGATTCTTGATAAGAGCAAAGTATATTCCTGAGTATTATTGACCTACACACACACACACACACACACACACACACACACACACACACACACACACATATATATATATATATATATATATATATATATATATATATATATATATATATATATATATATATATATATATGTATATATATATGTGTGTGTATATGTGGACGTATTTATGAATTATTGCGAAAATACCATCTGTAAAAAAGTAAATATCAGTTTATTATGAACTTAAACACACACACACACATATATATATATATGTGTGTGTGTGTGTGTATAAACCAAATCCTGAACAATGTGCAGAAACTGTGCCCACAATTATGTATTGCCCAACGATAGATGACAAAGACCCTTCCCATGTTCCCATGTTCCCATGTCTAATTGAGCGCAATCCCAGCCATACTACCATTACATCACGAGAAATCTCTAAACTTTTCAAAGGCCCTGACCCTAAGAAAGCCACTGTCCCAGACAAAATTCCAGTGATTTTCTTTAAGAATATCAACCGGGAAATTATCCCTCAATTCAATGAAGTATTTATTTTAACTGCTGCTTGAAAGATAAATCTCTACCAAGCCTATGAAAGGTGTCAAGCGTATGCCCGGTTTTCAAGAACGCGGGCGTGCGATATTCCCATCTCAGTACAGACCCATCAGTCGTCTCACTATTATCAGTTAGCTTTTTCAGGTCGTAATCAATAAGGTCGGGGAGCGCCTAGAAAATGACAACATCTTCAGCGTCAAGTAGAATGAGTTTCGGTCGGCTCGATCCACTGTCGGCATCCTAACTACCATCACTCACAGAAAAAGTTTGGCAAAAAGATTTACTACACAAGCTCCCCAGTTATGGAATCACTGGAAAGCTATTCTCCATCATAAAATCGTTCCTAACAGGTAGGTCCCTAAAGGTAGATATTAATAGCCAGTGGTCTGGAGCCCCAGTTGTCAAGGCAAGCGTCCAACACCGAACCAACCCTCTTTTTGATTTACAAAAATGATCTGTCCAAGAATGTATTCAGATGATTTGTAAACATCTATGCCGAAGGTACGATAATACGGCGCACTTCGGCAATTCTTCATGGTCAGAGATTGGCGAATGATCTTGCTTCCGATCTTGTTCAAACTATCCAATGGGGCAAAAATTGGCTGGTTACATTCAAGCCTCGAAGACCTAGCTAGTTATATTCTATGATCGCCGATTTGAGCCTGAACTACCACCAACCAGGATAAACGGAGGTCATCTTGAGGAGGCTCCGTGCCTTGAAAGACTATTGGGCCTCAAACTGACAATCAGCCACGAAGGAATTTTATATACGATGAATTGCTAAGGACGCAGGTAAAATGGTCGGCTCCCTTAACGCTCCAATACGTACATGGCTCCTCTTGATATCCTCTAACTTTACAAGAGCCAGATCAGACCAGATATGGTGTACTGTGGTCATATTTTGGCGGGAGTTGCCTGGACATCTCTCCAGGCAGGATAGTGTCCAAAAGCGACTCCGAGCCTTTATGAGTGATGAATTATTCTTCATTCTCTAACCTCTTTTTAACAGGCGGGATGTGGTAAGACTCTCGCTGTTTTACCGCTACTTCCATGGAATGTGCTCGAACGAGCTATATTCTCTTGACCTGGCAAGTGAAACCTTCACAGCTAGCACCCGTGATGTTACGATACGCCATGCCAATTATATTGTACCAAACTACGCACATTCCCTACGTATCCCATAGGTGAAGTAAATTCTACTCGAACATCTTCATCCCATGAACAACTGCCCTGCTGAACCGATTCTAAACAGGATGTTTCCCCGATCAATATAATCTTAACCCGTTAAAGGTACCTGTTATTCTCCATTCCTACGCGTATAAATTGCCTCTTAACATAACAGTCTACCTCCAGTGGTTAGCGGGCTTGGTAAAGTTTGACAAATTTTGGCAAAAAGTTTTACTACACAAGCTTCCTAGTTATGGAATCACTGGAAAGCTATTCTCTATCATAAAATCATTCCTAACATGTAGGTCCCTAAAGGTAGATATTAATAGCCAGTCCTCTGGAGCCCAAGTGGTCAATGCAAGCGTCCAAACCCGAAACATCCTTCTTTTTGATTTACATAAATAAAAGATTTACCGTAAAAATAAAAATAGATAAATAGTCTTCTAAAGCATAAATATCAATATGAACCCTAAAATAGGGCATCTAAAATACTTTCCAAATTCAAGCAAACTCAGATTTCTTCTAGGCTAGCTGCTATCACATCCGACTGAGTAATGTGGGTAATTTAACAACTCCCCAAATTGAGTTACATACAGTTTGATGAAAAAAGATGAGACAATTGAACAGTAAAAAAAACAAAAAAAAAAACATATTTTATATAAAAAAAAAATAGATTAAACAACGAGAATGAAAATAGTAGATTGTTAAAAATGTATTTTTTAGCATTCAAAAGTCATGGCATCGGGGATGATATCTAAATGCCTGTGTCTGTTGAAATAAATTGAAAGACTTATCCGATGTTTTTCATATCTTCTACCAAAAGTTGCTTCTTGTATAATTCAGGTTTAGTCTTGGCCATCATCGCTTCTTTCTGGATTAGGCTGAAAACCCGTCAGTCCGGTTCGTGGCTGCCATCTAAGTTTAATGAAATTCCTTTTAAATATTAACCTCATTAACCGAGGCAAGTATAAAATGTGATGACAAAATAAAAAATTTAAAGAAATAATGTTCAAATTAAATATTTTCACGAAAAGTTCAATGAATACAATGAGGGGTCTAATGTATTTTATGCTTAATCCGGCATTAATATAAATTACATTAAAAGTTATATATTTTTATTCCACGTGATTCGCTAGACAACGTTATCTTCCTAAATAGTGCAAATCTATGTCAACCGCGCTGTGTATTCGACAATCTTCGCAAAGAATATATATTTTCCATTAAGTTTCTAATTTAGGTCCCCTTCTTAGTGAAAACACCCGGGTAACCAAGCAAAGAACCTATATATTTCTTGTTTTTCGGAGGGGGGCGCATATTCTCTGTGAAAATTCTCGAATATACAGGCCGGTAAATGTAATTTATAATGCTAATTATAAAACACAGAGATTTTACTCATATAAGTTCAATGCATAAAATAGCGTACAAACAAAATGTATTAAACAGGCTGCGACTGATATTTACGCAATAATGAAAATATCCTGACATTGTAAAATATATATTTACCAATATAGAATATCTTGAAATGCTGCAGAGCAAATTTACTTTTCACTATTGCAAGATATTCAATGAAATCAAATTTTGTATCAAGATATTCAAAAAATCGCCATTGGCTTCAACCACGGTCTGCAGGCGACTTCGGAATTATCTAAAAATCTTCTGGGCTGTCTCTTTGTTTAAGTTGGTGTTATTCTGCCATAAGCCTTACCTTCATTTCAACTTTGGTGTTGAAGGATTTTGTCGGTCTCTCGATCAAATACACCCAGACATAATAATCAAGATGGTTGCCGTCTGCTGTGTTAGGTGGCCAGATATAAGGTATAAAGTTGTCGCAGAAATTGTATGAACACCCATGACTGGTTCTTCTGTTTGCGTGGCATGGAACAGTATCCTGTTACCATAATACTGTCATCTTGCACCCACTCAGGGAAGCACTACCTAATCAAGTCATTGGATGTTGGCAACTATGTTCAGTCTAAGGCCCGATGGAAAGATAAATGTAGGTATATATATATATATATATATATATATATATTGTCATTTTTTACGCCATGTTTTTACGCAATCATAAATGTATACAAATTAAAATTCATCCAATATTAACAATCCTATGCGCTATTACACCCATCACAAAAAAAATAAAAATAAAAAAAACATAAAAAATTAATAATTCATATCTGGAGTACTCATGAAATATAACTTCATTGAAAAGGCATCTATTCATCTATTAGGTTGGTGCAAAAATAATGACGTAAGAATGTCGTTTTTGACGTTAAAAAATACGTCAAAAACGACATTATTACGTCATTATTTTTGCACCAACCTAATAAAATAACGGATTTATCTCCTGTAATATAATAAATGGAATACTTGCAAAGATACACTGCAAACAAATACACAAATTAAGTGATAATAATAATAACAACAATGACCATTACCAAAGTAGGCATATAATCTTAATTAACAACTCCATAACAGCTACCATAGTAAATAATTTATCCAACCTGAAACTAAGACACATGAACACCATCTCTAAAATAAGAGACATGGCTGGTACGAAACGAGATAGCAACAATAATTGGACAGTGGCAAGTATTTACAAAAACAGATTGTACAAAAGAACCACTGGTGTACTTCAGAGAAACATTCAGATAGAACGAGAGCAAGTCATAAATTATCCGCACTCTTGAGAAAATTGCAAATAATTTTTGACCTGTAACATCGTACAAAAAACAGACTATATGACATCGCAGAGATATGCGGCATAAGAACACTTTAAATGCATTGGTTTTTCACCGTAAATCATCTAACCGCAATTTCGACTTACTAAATGCAAGTCTGAGATAAAGAGGAAAGGGTTCACTAAGAAAAATGTGAATTGAGAATGTGCTAATCCCATAATTTTCGACAATACACATTGAAGGTCTGAAAAATGCATAATATCAGTGATCCTCGTAAGAGAAATAGTAGCCAAATGCGGTAGAGGTGATAATGAGGAAAATACTGAGATATACTCGGAGTAGAAAAACAAAAAACAAAAATTAAACCAACTTAGTCGTTGAATATCATAAGTTAATTTATTGTCCCTCTTATCCTAAAAACAAGAAATAGATATATGCTCGAAGATAGATAGATAGATAGATAGATAGATAGATAGATAGATGTGAAATTAAATGTAATGGCTGGAATAGATAGATAGATAGATAGATAGATAGATAGATAGATAGATAGATAGATAGATAGGAAATGAAATGTAACGACTGTGATAAATAGATAGATAGATAGATAGATGTGAAATTAAATGTAATGGCTGGGATAGATAGATAGATAGATAGATAGATAGATAGATAGATAGATAGATAGATAGATAGATGGGAAATGGAATGTAACGACTGTGATAGATGGATAGATAGATATAGATAGATGGATAGATGGAATAGATAGATAGATAGATAGATAGATATGATGATAGATAGATGAAATGTGTAATGTAATGACTGGGAGAGATAGATAGATAGATAGATAGATAGATAGATAGATAGATAGATAGATAGATAGATAGATGTAAATTAAATGTAATGGCTGGAATAGATAGATAGATAGATCGATAGATAGATAGATAGATAGATAGATAGATAGATAGATAGATAGATGAATAGGAAATGAAATGTAACGACTGTGATAGATAGATAGATAGATGTGTAATTAAATGTAATGGCTGGGATATATTAGATAGATAGATAGATAGATAGATAGATAGATAGATAGATAGATAGATAGATAGATAGATGTGAAATGTGTAATGTAATGACTGGGAGAGATAGATAGACAATGAACATAGATAGATAGATAGATAGATAGATAGATAGATAGATAGATAGATAGATAGATAGGAAATGGAATGTAACGACTGTGATAGATAGATAGATAGATGGATATGAAATTAAATGTAATGGCTGGGATAGATAGATAGATAGATAGATAGATAGATAGATAGATAGATAGATAGATAGATAGATAGATAGGAAATGAAATGTAACGACTGTGATAGATAGATAGATAGATAGATGTGAAATGTGTAATGTAATGACTGGGAGAGATATATAGACAATGAACAAAGATAGATGAACGACTGATAGATAGATAGATAGATAGATAGATAAATGTAATGGATATAGATAGATAGATAGATAGGAAATGAAATGTAACGACTGTGATAGATAGATAGATATATAGATAGATAGATAGATAGATAGATAGATAGATAGATAGATAGATAGATTCTAGTCCGATGCGTGGTTAGTGTAGTGGTTAAGACGGACGAATTCAAATTTCGTTGGGAGATTTTTCTTACCGATTTTTTTAAAGCCAATGAAACGGCATGAATCCATATATATTCCCGCTATGGATTAAATTGCAAATTACACTCGAATGTCTTACGTTTGCTGGTAGCTAAACATGGTGCAGGAAAACTCACAAATCCAAATTTCTTTATTATAAAATTTTCTCTCGCTTTTTCTGCGCTAGTTTCACTAACATCGTGTGGGTCATCTCGTGGTTTAGTTCTTTAATGAACTGTTAGAATCTCATTCATCTAAATCGATCAGACAGTCTACAACTCTATATTCTAGATAGCGAACAGAACTGAAGGTGAAATATAGCTTCCAACATCCTTGTCTGTCTTTATATTACGGAATAACATGTCAGTTTCCTTACCTTAAGCGACAGTTCAGGAAACATAAAACTAGCACCAAAAGTTCCGATAGCCTTTCGTAGCACAAATTATTAATAAGCGTTAATATCATATCTATTGTATCAGGTTTATACCCGGAGCATATGGACGTCTACTTGTAAATAATAACTGCCACACATTTGCTAATATATAACCAGAACAACGTACCGTAAGCAAATACAAGCATCAACTTCGAAAAAAAAATCCCCCCCTGGTCTAATGCATCAAGTATTACCGGCTTTTCTATTATGCCATTCACTTTCACTTGGAAGCTTTACAACTGCAGGTCAAGTAAATCGTGCAATATTTGATGGATCGACATTTTAGGCCTGTCTGTCTTGAGGGAAAGAAAGGGTCATGGCCCCAGCTTGGCATGAAAAACTTTGATTTATGTGTGAAATAGTTAATGTGCACTGGGCGCGGTCATTACTGACAGTGGCAGAGAGGCTGTGAAGGCGGACAAGGAATCAGGGGAAACTGCTGCAAACACTAACTTCAAGAGGAAAAGCCATATAGGAAGATACGTCGATGTACCTGATTGTATCACTTACCTTCAAAATGGAATGAGATCAAATGCAGTACTTCCTGTGTGCTAATTACATGAACAAATATGCCTAAATCCTTCATGTATCATCATTAATTTACGTTTTTACATCTGCTAATCCACTTCTAGTTACTTACGAAAATATTTCTTTATTGAGGATATAGTTGATCATGTATCTCCACAAATTCATTTTTTATTATCTTTGAAACATAGCTACTGGATATAGAGCGTTGTAGTTTTCCTTTATCCAAACCATGTTTTTAATTCTGTGTTTTCCTTTTCATAGTCAAGTTTAAAGTGTCGGGTAGTGATTTTCCAAGCATAGCTTAGATGTGGCACAAGGCCGAAAGTATGGGGCACCCAGTGAGGATCGAACTCACGACTCAGTTGTAATCGTTCTAGCGAGACAAGCTTGCTAACCATTACACCATATCGAGGTGCCCTTTTTTCTAAGTGTAGCTTAGATGTGGTACAAGGCCGAAAGTATGGTGCACCCAGTGAGGATCGAACTCACTACCCAGTCGTAATTGTTCTAGCGAGACAAGCTTTCTAACCATTACACCGCCTCGAGGTGCCCAAGTTGAGAGTGTCGTGTATCTCATGTCAGTTAACCTATTTCTACCAAGTAGTAGAATTGATAGAATTTTGACTTTACATAATGGAATTGATGAGAAAATAAACGTAAACAAATAGGCCGAGATTTGAACTCAGATCGACTATTCCGGTTATGTTACTCGCAATTCTAATATAAAATACTCCCTCTTAAAACATCTATTTTTGTGTCCTAAGATAATTTCCTATTTAAAAACAAAACAAAAAAAAAAAAAAACAACTAATGTGCTGAGAATATGAGGAGGGAAGACGTTCTAGAGACAATGGCAACAAAAAAGGACAATTATGCTTAACAGCAGAAAGTTACCACTAAAATATCTCTGGCAAGATGAGGAAAGATGGGCTGAAAAAAATCAAGACTAAAGAAGGAAGATAAGGGTGACAAAGAAAAACAACGTTTAATCTACTTAGCAATCGTCGATAAATAGATGGCAAGCAGGGATTGAGAGAGATAGGGAAATGACAAAAATTATTAAGAGCTACAAAGTAAAGGAAGTTGGGGAAAGACATCAATGTCAACGTTTTTAAGGAACATAGTATATAGAAGAAAAAGAATGCTGGATGAGACTAACCAAGGCACCTGCTAATTAAATGCTTATGGGATGCTGATTCAATATCATATTTTGTTGCATATATGGCGCAAATGCGTGCTTGCCGACCACTGTCGCTGTTCTGGGGCAGACCAAAACTGTTTCATCGCAGCCTCAGTTTCGTCAGACCACGTGAGATTAATATACTAAAATTATTTCGCTTCTGCTTCTCGCTGAAATATAAATTTAGCCGTCTTAAACTAGGACAATTTTTGTCTTCTACTCTTGTTAAATAGTAGAAATCCTATGGTATGCATTGCCTGCATTTATTACTCTTTGCAAACGGATTGGAAGCATATCTTCCTCTCCTTCAAAAAGAGTTTACCGAAAAGTAGAATGAAACATATTTCCATTTGGTTCCATTTGCTTGTTAATATCTAGCAGTTTCTGACTCTGTGTGTTAGATAAGAGGCAAAAGTTCCGATTGACGGAGAATACAATATATTCCCATTTCGTCCCGTTAATATCTCGCTTTTTTGGACCTGTAAGTTAGGTAAGAGGCAAAAATTTTGATGTTTTTTTTGTTTTGTTTTTTGTGGAAAGAAACTCCATTTTACAAAGAGATCTCCTTTTCTTTTCAGCAGTTACTGGATCCTCGATTCAATGAAAAGGCACTCAACTTCGCCATATCCGTTTTTTATTTTCTTTTTGTATTTTCGTTGTTCGATGCCAATCTCCGGGATTTGTCGTGACAACTGACCCTATCAAAATAATCATATTTTAGATATGAGATCTATTTCCAACTTCATATATGGCATTTTATTAGATCATTTTCTTCTTGCTTAATACTCAAATGTAACTTATTCTGATTTTCTTAAGACATAAATTTATTTGATCGGCGTCAAGCGTTAAAAAATACATAAACATATACATTATAATGTAAACATTCAGCGGCCTACGCATTTATCAATTATTGATTTCATCCAATTTCTTCTACTCTATTTAATGACAGTATTTTCATCGATGATTTGTATGTGACTAATTTTACACGACATAGTCATCATCAATGTTTATTCGTCTAAGCAAAGTCCGTATACTGAAAAAAGTTTAAGTAGGATTGGGCGCACACGACAGAAATAAAGTAAAATTAAATAAAATATATTATGACAATAATATTTCAATTTATTAGATTAACTTGTAAAATATAACTAGTGTAAATCAACATTAGGCCATTGAATGACAAAGTTGGAGAACGTTGTGCAAATCTTTCTGTCATCTAGAAGGATGTCATCGAACTAAAGTCGGGGAAGAGTTTTAACAGAGAACGGAAAGTACGACACTGAAAACCGAATGGCTTACTAAATATTAGGAACTTATGAAGAAACAGAGATGATTCGTTGGAAATAAAGAAAATAGTACTTTTAAGTACTACCAGTCCTCTTATATAGCAGTAAATGCTGGACAATATTCTTAAAATGAAACAACGGAAATGTGGTTTGACAGAAGGATACAGAGAATACTATGACAGTATATGTGAGCAACGATGATGTTCTTCAGACAAGGCAAACATATAGATATATAGACATTATTTATATTATTCGGACTACTGTCCTCATCTTTGTCGCCGACTTTAGCACAACGTTTCGGCCGTTGTACGCTGCTGCCACCTTCAGGTGGTTAGAATTTCGAACTGAAACCTTTATTTCGCTCACTGGGGTAGACTGTTCTAGTTTCACGTGCCATGTTTGATGGATGTCAGTTATTAGTTATCTCCTGCTAATTTCCCTCTGAAAGTTCTCCACTGTCTTAACCGGGTATTGAACTCTTTGGGTCATGTCACTGGATCTAACCAACACCTTTATCCCCTGTGTCCTTGAGGACATCTGTGTATGAATTTCTGGGTATTATAAACCTGATGTCTTCAGCAAACATTTTTACCAGTGCTCATATTGCAATTTTTGCTGTTATCATTACATGATTTTACCAGAGCTCATATTGCAATTTTTGCTGTTATCATTGCTTTTCTCTGGCACTCCTTATTACTGGTTCCCATTTTGTATTTATTTCTATGCTTGGTCGGCTCAGGAGATTTATGTGGCCTAGCATATGTGCTGATTCCTTAAGTTTACGAATTTTCCAATGGTGTTCCTTGTCTATGATCTCAACATGATCCCACAGATAACGAACGATAAAAAATTAAAATAACGAAGCAAAATACATAACAATTCTTATTCACGGCAAAAAGTGAAAAAAATATCTAAACTTGACATTTTATTTCTTACAAGTACTTCTAAAGCGATAAGATACATAATTAATACAAAACAAATAATAATAATCTGAAATATGAATCGGAAAAATTTAATCTATAGCATGTAAGGACTAACACAAAAATACACAGAAGTTAAATAAGGAATTTAAATAAAAGTTCATATTTTTAAAACAATTTGAAGCATTTCACACCAAGCAAGGTGGGAGTGACACTAACACTCAAGGGGTTACAGAGAATCAGAGCAAGAGTAAAGATGGTGTTTGAGGAAATGTTATGGAGAAAGACGGAATCAGGATCAAGGCATTAGAAGATGTCGATTGACATTACATTTGAATATTTGAAGAATATAGTTTTCAAGAAAGCAAGTAGGAAGTAGGGAGTTCCACTGTCAGGAAGTGCGAGGGAAGAAGCTGTAGGAGTAGATGACACGTCGCTAAAGTTTCATGAAAAATTGTCGGATTCCTGTACCTTTCCAGTAAGTACCTGACTGCTCATGCTATTTTCTAACTTCATAAGAGAGAGATTAGGCCGCAAATGGAGTACTGGCATTATATCTGTGCGGATGCTGCCAAACCACAATATAGTTTAAAAGTGTCATCTAGTTCTTTTCAGTGAAGAATTATTTTCCATCCTTCAACCTCTCCCTCACATGTGGTATGTGTCGAACCTTTCATTGCTCTATCTATTCTTCCGTACGAAGTTCCCGGATGAAAGATATTAATCGGTTCCGCTAGGACTAACTTTCAGGGCTAGGGTACGCCATGCCACTTATATTATAACAAACCAGCCACATTCCCTCTGTATTCCATCGGTGTGTTTAAGTTCCACTTGAACAGCATCGTCCCTCTAACCACTTCTATATGGAAGCGATTGCCAAGAGGATGTTTTTCCCGATCACTACAAGTCTAGAGTTTACCGCCCTCTTCACTTCCTGTCAGTATAAACTGCCTCTTAACTTAAACCTCTAATGCGAGTGGCTCCACGGCTTTATACAGTCTGAAGCTTCTTTTTATGTGATGTTTCTCTTCAGGATCATGTCTTTCCAGAACTTCC